CCCACCCCATCCCCCACCGTGCCACTGGCCTGTCACTATGTCGTTACTGTGCTCGTGGTCGGCCGAGGGAGGCAGAGCCCCGAGCAACAGAAAAACCAGGAAGACATCAAAATTAGGCAAATGTTTTCAAATCTCTTTCTTACCATCACGTTTATCAGAATCCTTTCTGATTTCTCCTAACTCATGGTGGGCCTTTTTTTTTTCTTAGAAATCAGGTGTATTTTTCCAACCACTGTATTACCTATTTTCCAGCTGGGGAAATTGCTGAACCCAGGCAAAATAAATGCGTGACTGAAGTAGGAACTAAAAATGAGGTATCTCTCTGGGCCTCACGTGCTAGTAAATGCTACACATTGCCTCAAAAACCTTCCGGTAGCAGAAAAAAAGATAAGGTGATTATGATGAAAAGGAGTCTGTGATGAACAATTAGGTCACATTCTCCTTGTTGACAAGTGTCTTCAGAGATCTGAACAATGTTGAATTATTTCCTATAGAAAGTGATCAAAGAAGCAAAGTCTGATATACACAAATCAAAATGCTATCTTCTTGTATATTCAGTTCCAATATTAAAATATAAAGACCTTAATGGCAGTGACACACTATTGTCTTGTTACTAATTTGGTTGATTTATTGATTGATTTGATTCAGTCACCCAATCTTTACTGGGTTTCTATTATGTGTAGGAGGAATTTTAAAAATAACTACAAGTCAGAGATCAAATCAAATGTTAAAGATATAAGTATTTTCCTATTTCTTTGTGTGGAAGGAGCGTCAGGTCACGAGATAGGAGATGAGGGTTGTTTTGCTAGTGGACACATTACTCCTTCCAAGTGTGCAACATCTGTCCTTACTCTCCTAGAAAGGCCCCTGACGAGGTGACACTTGGGCTGAAACTGAAGGGCAAGAAGGAGCCACGAGGTGAGGCTCTTTGCAGGGAAGGTTCGGGTCCTAAGATGGGATCAGACTTGTGAGCGGAGGTTTGGGGGACGGGGGGTACAGGGAAGTGGGGCGGGAGGAAAGGCATATGAAAGGGATTTGCGAGAGAGAATGGATAAAGGAACATTGCCTTTATTACTTACTGCTCCATCTTCAGAGCCTCAGACAGTGCTAGGCACACGGGAGGAATTCAATAAAGCTCTGGTGAGCGGACAGGTGAACTGGGAGGCACCCAACAGCTATAGGCATAGCACTCCTTTTTAAAAAGACTCTTACTCCTGTTGTGTCAAGAGTGGACTGAAGGCAGGGGGGCAGACCAGGAGCTGCTGCAGGAACTGAGGCAAGAAATGAAGTGTGGATGGACAAGAGAGGTGGTCCCAGAGGAAGGACTGGGGGCTGCGTGCGTTTTGACTGCGAGCAGCAAGTGTCCATGGGCGAGGCTCGGATTTTTGCCTTAACCTCCTGGAGGATGGCAGAGCTTCTGCCCGACAAGGCCAACTGTTGGTCTGTCAAGGACGAGGGAATTCGAGTTGCTGCTGTGTTCTCGGTGGGGACTGAGAGAGGGATGGTCCAGACAAAGCGCCGAGTGGTTGTTGAGAGAGTGTGAGAACACATTTGGTGAGAAACAAAGGGTTACTGGGCTGTTGGGAGTGCTGTTCTGTGGTGTGTTTCGGGTGGGTGACAGAGGCTCAGTGCTGGGGGCCTGGAGGAGGCGCAGGGAGAAGGTGAAGCCACTTCTGGGCTGAGGTGAGGAGCTGAGGGCGCTGTGGTGGGAACTGTGGTGTCATCCCCAGTCTGGGGCCACTCCTGGCTCTCTACGCCTTGCTCTGTGAGTTTCTTTCTCTTTTACATTTAAAAAGTGAGAGAAACACTATTAGCCTTAAGCAGCCACATCATGTTGTTTTTAGTATTTAGCACGAATCCAAGTGACTCCCGGGTCAATGTGACTGCTCCTGGGGAGAGTAGCCCACCTGACCGGCAGCGTCAGGAGAGGCGCAGAGGGGAGCACCTGTGAGCTGCAGGGGTGACAGGCACACGGGACAGGGGACGATGGTGGGGAGGACAGCCACAGCCCAAGACGCCGAGACACAGCCTGGGGAGCAGGAGGTTACCTCAGGGGCTGGTTCTGTTCTTCCCTTACCTACTGGCGACCTCGTGGAGGCAGGTGAGAGGGGCAGCGAGAGGGTCTGAGGCGCCACCTTCCCGGGGCCAGGGGCCGCAGTTCCCGGGGCGCAGAAGGCCGCCTGGATCACTTCAATGGCTTCGGTGTAGCCCATCTGTCTCAGGGCCTCCACCAGCTCTCTTACGGTACCCCCGGAGACCTGCGCGAGAGACAGGAAGCTGTGTGACCAAGGTGTTCCCGAGCCCGGAGCCAGCAGGCGGCCTGGGGCCACGACGCACGCCCCACTCCGCCCCTGCAAGTGCCTGGGCTGCGAGGGCTCACAGCGAAGCCGGCTGCCGAGCCGCGTGGCCTTTGCACGGCCTTCGCGTCGAGCTTCCTGTGTCAGCTCCGAGACCGCTCAGGAAATCAGACAAGCGGCTTCCAGTAAGCGTGGAAGGCAGCAAGGGGGAGAGGGGCTGAGGCAGTGAAATCCCACCTGCCGACAAGGTCATGCAGTATCCCTGTTTTAGGCGGAAGCTCTGAAAATCACTGAGAAACCAGAGCGAACGAGGGCATCTTCAGCAGACAATGATTGCACCTCACAGAAAGCTGACTCCGTGCCCTGACACGGGATCGAGGCACGCTCTTGGGGACGGGAAGATAACGCATGTGGATCACAGTCTATCAGGTTGGTTGGGGGGTGGGGGTCAGAGTTTGGCGACAACCCTGACCCTCTACCTAGGATTTCTGCAGGAAATCCCAAAGTATTTGAAAATAGGGAACACCTTAGGGTATCTGAAAACTGCCTTCTTCCGAAGGCGGGTTTCCACCCTGGCCTGGGTCACCCTCCCAGGACAGGGGTAATGACTGATTTTCCTCCTCAGAGTTAAGGGTCGGGGAGGGGGGGACCATGCCCAGGTCAGCGATGTTAACAGACGGGAGTCAAGTACAAATGTGAGGTGATGGGTTACCTCGTAGTTGTCCATAAGAGTTTTAGAAGGAGCAGGACTCAGCCGGAAGGCATTATTTAGTATCCCCAGACCTAGTTTCTGTGCCAGAGTTGCCCAGTTCTTGTCTGGATCAGGGATTTCTAGCAACTTGTAGAGCTGCAGCTTTGCATCCTCAGTCAGCTGTTTCATGTCTCCTGAAGGAATGAAGAAGAAGCACAGCTGTCCCAAGCGACCGGAGACATCGGCAGGGACTGAGCACGGCCATGCTGCTGCCCTCGGGCCCCCAGCTCCCAGTGGGAGCACTGAAGCTGCGTTACTTGGAGTCGGCAGCAGCCCTGCTGAGTAACAGCAGTATGCGTGCTTTAGCAGATTACAACTGGACGGTCTCCTTTGCATACGTCCAGGATCTTTCGATGCTGGAACAGGCCACCGAGCCTTTCACAGTATGGCCTGGATAATGTTGCTTCTCCCTCAGCCCTTTACATGACTGTGTGGAGGGAACACTGGTTAAGAGCTCACCTTGTGCAAGTAAATCATCAGATGTAAACTCTGGCTCATATGGTTTCCCATTTAATATATCAAACACCTGTTGGGGAGAAAACCGTGGAGAAACATTATACATTAAAGGGACCAGGACAGGAGTCAGTTTCTTTGTAATGAAGAACTCACTGTGTCCTCCTGAGGAGGGCCTAGTACCCCAAAGATGGAGGAATGGGAAGGAGTTAGTCCCATGACCCACAAAGTCATGACAATGCCCTTTGGGCAAAGAAAAGCCCTGGGGGCTCTGGGGCCAGGAGGCGGGGCTCTACAGGGGCTTCTGAGGTGGGTAGGAAGACCCAAGCCAACCTTGCAGAGAGCCGGTGCCACGGTCCCTCTGAAGGACAAAGACAGTCCAGGCCCCCAGAATTGGCCATGTGTTGGTTGGAGAGTCATCAGTAAGTGATGTGTCCCTGAGGGCCCGGATGAGGACTGAGCTGACGCAGAGCTTACGCTGAAGCCAGCCATGCCTCCTTACTGCCCCCTCCCCCCTAGGAAAAGCCTTCTGAGAACGAATTCTATAAACTTGCTCAAACTGAGGTATAGTAATGCTCACAAGGCTTGATGTTCTCTTTCCAGTGCCAGCTACATTTTAAACTGAAAAGTCTTAGGTTAAAAGGAAAAACACAGTTCCGTAGCTATGGAGACCTTTCTGTGTGCCCTACAGTCACTCTGTGCTTGCTGACTATGTGAGGACGACATGGGGTCACTGAAGTGGGTTATCTTTGTGTGTTCTGTGGTGAGGCTTCTGGGAAAGCGAGGTGCTCAGCTTAATTAAAGGGGAACCATGCGGTCTCTGCCAGGGTCACTCAGCTCAACACCACGGACCTCCAAGGGGCAAACAAGCAGTTTTTGGATGTGGAGCAGCACTTGGCCCTAAGAAAGTCGATTTTATTGTGTTGGAGATCCCTCTGCTACCCGTGTCCTCCCTCTGGCTCTTCTCCCTGGGCCATGAAGACCTACTCACTGCTCTTCACCTTCAGATCTCAGGTCACTGGAGTTTGGAGGAAGAGTTTAAGTCTATTTACTATGTTTATAGTTATTAAAATCCTCAGAAGAATCCCTGAGTTCTTTTTATGTAAAGAAATCACTTAGCAAAGTTCTAAGCAAATTGTAACATTTCTCCTAGCTTCCGAAATGGAGACGGGGACCATTCTGGTGTGAGCTCAGAACGGAAAACTCTTCTGTGAATTTTGTGTTTTCTCTTATGGAACCCTCTCTCACAACTTAACCGTGATCTGATGAGGCATACACTTTCATACTCATAACTCCGCTGACCTAGATCTTTCATGGATAGGCTTTTCAAGATAAGTATGTCTCTTGATAAGCAGACTTTCTTAAAAATAAAAGGCTTGTGCTTTGGGGAGTAAAAACCCAAGAAGACCATCTGTTCTTATATTCCTGAATCATTAGCTCCCTCCGGAGCTGCCATCAAACAGACTGGAGCCACACGCACCTGCCAGTTGGTGGCCATATCTAGAGGTGTGGTTCCAGGCACGACTCCTTCATCCTCTCCATCTTTTTCCCAAGAGTCATCCAGGTCATAGAGAGGCTCAAAGTTCTCCACCAGGGGATCTGCACCTGTTAAGTCAAGTTACACAGCATTAGGTAAACCACGATCCTGTCGACTCTGAAATGCCTGCAGAGGTCAGATTTCCAAAGGCAAAGCATAACAGCTACTCAAGGCAATTACCTGGATAATTTTTATTACATAAAACATGCTTCCACTGAAATATTCAGAAAACTTCTTTTAAATTCTAATTTATTTTGACTGTAAAGATGTCTTATGATACTCTATATAGCCAAGGACATTTTCAAAGACAAAAGACTTAGAAGTACCCTGACCCTCACATTTAACTCTCTAGGACAGGTTTCAACCGAATGATACACCTTTAAGCTGAGGAGTAATGGCAGCAATTTACAGGGGCTGAGCTGCACCCTTAGGATTCAGGACCTAATTTAATGTTCAAGTTCGTGCCCACCACTGCACATGTCTCAGGCTGTTCTCCCACTTGCTCAAAAGAGCAAACTTTGCTGTATAGGGACAACAGGCTCACTTTTATTCCTGGGTACAGCACTGCCAGGGTCTCGATCCTTAAACAGACAAACACTGCAAAAACCTTCTCCTACAATGTATAGTAATTGAAAATTTTAGGGCTGATCTTGGAAAAATGTAGTCTGTTTCTTAATGTGCACCAAAAGTAACTCAGAGATTAGAGCTAGTTACCTCTTAGAGGCTTAGAGACTATTTTTATGAGAGTGTTAAGTCTAATGTCTAACAAACAGTAGTCAGTTCGGTACACCCTTCTGGGAAGAACTTGTTCTTATCTTGCTGGGAGATCATTTGCTTTGTGTCAATTTCAATAACAGGAGAGGGCCTAATGAGAGTCAGAGAAGGATCTTCATGCTGTTTCTTATTTCAACCTTCCAGCCCGGGCCTGATCTAGAAGGCAGTGAGTGCCATCTGACCATGGAAACAGAATAGAAACAAGATGAACAATTTATGGGCTGGAGAATGCTAGAGGAGCTGAGCTATCTGTTCCTGAAGTGACCTTCTTCATGACTGGGAGCTCAGGACTAGGTTTTTCACCCAAGTGCCTTCATTTATATCATGGAGAAACTGTTACTCAGCACTCCTTTCATGGGATATTAAGAATTCAAGAGAAAGCATTTTTGAAAGGGTTATAGCTTCTTGTCTGAAGGCATTTCTTAATTATAACCAGTGACTCCCAAACTATTCATACATACTGCAATCAGAGTCTCTTGTCCAAGAGAAAGTTTGACTTGACTGAGACAAAGAAAAGAAAAGGCTATTGTTTATTTGGATATGATTTTATTCACTTAGAAGTATGTGGGGCTCCCAACGAAAAAGTCTGTGCATCTTCCTGGACTCAGTTTTTAAAGAGATATTTAACTCGCTCTGTTTTCTTGAATTTATGAAGCATTTATTTTCTAAAAAAGTTTTAAAAACCTCTATAGGAAATCAGATAGCTCAAGGTTTGAGGGACTACTCCCATTAAGCATGTGTTGAGGTTCTAAGTATACAAGGCAAGAGAGATTCAAGGGTGAGCAGGGATAACTTTCTATACTTCACAGAACTAGAGAATTAAATGGAATAACATCTGCAGATCCTTGAGCAGAGCAGGGGAGAGAAACAGTAGAGAGAATAGTCTGGAAGCTCAGATGGACGAGGTGTGATTCATAGTTATGCCTTTACTAGGATCCCAGGACTGGGTCCCACAGGTCTCTTCAGTCTATTTTGTCTGCTGTGAGATGGGAAAAATAATAATGGTACTTACCTCTAAGGGTTGTTGCAGATTAAATGAGACAGTGCGTCTGACAGCTCTAGCACAGTGCCTGACACTTAGTAAGGTCAATAAACGCTAGCAAGTTCTAGTGCCTCACATACGGTAGCACTCAATACACTGCCCATTTGTTTTTTCCTATTATTTCTACTTCTAAGGGACCTCTCCTGCCAAAGGAAATTTTAAAATGTCTTCTACCAATCAACTTTTTTTCCTGGAGACTTCTGACATGATCCGAGGCTGGTACTGCTCAGATTTCTTTAAGGAATCAAATTCAACTTTAAGAAGATCTCCTGGCATGGGAGTCAACCTAAACCACCAATATCCAAAACAAACGGATGAATTAGAGGGTAAAGACTGACATGACCATCAGGATGGAGCCCAGGATTACGAGTCCCAGCAGCGCCATTCCAGGGGGCCGTGGAAGTGTGACTTTTATTTACTCCTGCATTTCAGCAGGAGCTCCGCGGCTTAAAGAAGGAGGCGGGGCTGTTCAACTCGGAGGAGTTGGGTTTGCATTCCCGATAGCACTTTCCAGCTGTGCCCGCCAGGCCGCCTTCCTTACCTGCTGCTTTGAGAAGAGCTGCCAGCCTGGTGGACCCTCTCCCGGCTGCTATGTGCAGGGCTGTAGTCCCATCATAGGTGGTACTGTCTACATGGGCATCACCCTAAAATCCAGCCCACACAGGAAAGAGTTAGTGGAAGGTTCTCTCCCCCTTTAGTCCCCACCTTCTCCTGTCAGCATGAGCCCTAGGTCCTAGAAAAGGTCTTATTACTAGCCCGGTTGCTATCTGGGGCGGGCTCTGCCACTTGAGAAATGCCCAGTTAGAGAGAAGGGGCCGATGGTGTCAGGACTGCCCAAAGCTGACTACCCCGAAGCCTCGAGTAGCTATGGAATAAAGAGAGGTGACCGCAGGGGGAAAGGCTGTTGCTGACATCATGCCTTGAAAAGACGGTCCTAACGCCCCCTTGGGAATTCAACGCAAAGGCAAACGCGCGCGTCGGTTACCTCCAGGAGCAGGCAGCCCGCCAGCGAGATGTTGTCGCGCTCCACGGCCAGGTGCAGCGCCGTGCGCCCGGACTTCCGCTCCTGCGCGTTGACGTCGGCGCCGGCGGCCGCCAGCAGCAGCAGGCACGGCATGCTGTTGCTCGTCACGGCTACGTGAATGGCGTTTAGACCTGCGGCCCAAGCACAGGGACGGTCATGCAGCTGGGAGGCTGCTCACAAGGCGGCAAAACTGGACCCCAGGGAGGGAATGCTGTCGACTCTCAGCACATCTAGTGTCTCTGCTCCAGAGAGCCTGGCAAGGCGCCGCAAGTCTGTTGTTCTGCATGGAAACCCACGGTCTCCTCGTATGTTCTCAGGAGACACTGAGGGCAAATAAACATTCTTTGGATAAACGATGCTTCTACACCTCAAGACCAGTGTTTGCTCAGACCTCTGCTTTTTCCACCTCCTAACAATTCCAAATCATCTTTAAAGAAATTAGGGGAAGCAAAAGAAATTCTCAGGAGAGATGACAACCTCCGGGTGACTAAGGGAAGCACTTTTGGGTGCAAATCAAAGAACACACATTTAGCAAGTAGCTACCAATTGTTTAGAAAGCAGAGAGAGAAGGTTATCCACAACGTCTGCTCGTCTCTTACCTTCCCCATTAGGGTGGTCCAGCAGTAGTGCTGCCTTCTTGTGCTTGAGTAAAATACTGAGAATTTTATCTTGTCCTTCTTTGGCAGCTAGGTGCAAAACAGAGTTACCCAAGCGGTCCAGAAGGCTCAGGTCGGCCCCGGCCCGCAGCAAGTCCTCCACCACAGCCTCCTGCTTGGTGATCACTGCCAGGTGCAAGGGTGTCTGGGAAGTGGAGAAGGGTCAGGAGATACACTGCTCAGCAGCAAACACTTGAACCCCCCTCTCCCTCCCCGGGCTTGAACCTACGGGTTTTGTGGCTGCCGCTGCAATAGATGGCGTCATGCCTCAGGGCCGGTTCCCATTGCCAGATTAACTCCTCTCTTTTGCAAGTAAGTTACTCCCTGTTCTATGTCCTGTGCTAATGAAGTGTGTATGCTGGACTGATATTGAGCCACGCGATAATTAAGATTATTTTTATATTTACAATTCTTAATCGCTTTCTTGTTTCTCATTACAGCCTGCTGACTGCTGATACGTTAATTCTTCTCTTAATAAATTTAGTTTCCTTGAATCTGTAGCAGGAATCTATCTTCAGCTGATAATTCTGTATATTAACAAATCAAAGCAAGGCTACAGTTTTACTGAAGAAGGTGAAATGAACTAACTACTCAATAGAAACTAATTCACAAAGGTGCTGTCATTCTATATTAACGTGGAAAGTGAGTTTGCTGAAGTAAAAATATTTTTCTGTGGGCTGGCTCTGTGATGAGAACAACCAATAGAACTCTGGGGCACCCCCATTTTATAGCAGGTGTCAAAGGATTCTAAATGTCATAACCAGGACGACAGAACCATCTCAGTAAGAGGGCTCAGATGAACAAGCGAGCTGAATCGCTAACACCTAATAGGTGCATACATAGTCCATTTGATTACTCTGCCCACAAAGTAGTGCCTCGGCGAATGCAAATGAGATGTTTTGCAAACTGAGTGTTTTCAAAATGAGCAAGACAGACACAATCGCGAAAGTATCTTTCAAAGAACTGAGGCCACTGACAGAATAGCGAGATATTTTTATACAAATCAGTCTATTTCACAGGAGTCTGTGAAATCCAGTCTGTCTAGTGACAATTTGCCTAAACTTTCTCTCTCGGTACGCGATTCCCGGCCACAGCAGCGACAACAGGGTAAAGCCACCGACGCCCAGCTGGTGCAGGACAACCTCAGCCCAGGAGGCGCTGCAAGATGCTCCCGCGGCTTCCGCTCCGTTACAGTGATAACTGCACACAGCAGAAGCCAGACAGGCTTTTGGGCCAAATTTCCATTCTCTCTTATTTTTTTTCATCTTTTATACTCCAGCTTGAAATAGAATGATGTCCTCAAAAACTTTAGATACTGTAGCCAAGAGCCTTCTTCTTAAGAAATAAATATGTTAAAAAAAAAGTGCATTTATTAATATGACATGCTATTTGGGGAGATGAAAAAAATCTGAGAGAGAATGAGATTGTAAAAAAGATCTGAAATTATAAAATATTATACCACTCAGAAATTTGTAATTATCTCTAGTTTTAAAATGATTTTTTTTCACGTTATACAAATTCTGTTACTATGAGTACGAGAAGCTTTTTTTTTTTAAAAAAAAAACCATAGTCCCACTGAAGGTTTTCTATGAAATTTCAGGCTTTAGATCTTTAACCCCAGGATTATATAACACAGTGTGGACTGTGAGAGTATAGTAAAATATCTATATTTATTTCAAGTGTGTATGTTTACATAGCCACTATCTGGAAAAATACTTACAAATGCAACAGTTATATTTGGGAGTGGGGTTAGGGGACTTGTATACTGCCAGGGAGGGCAACTTTTGATTTTCCAGTGTATTTCCTTATGTACGATTTAAAGAACTATGAACATATATTATATTTTTAAAAATTAAAAACACAGAAGAAAAAAATCCATATGGACAAAACCCTTCATTAATGTTACATAGGAAGGTATGCAGATAAAACAATCCGTATCAAACACACTGGAGGGGTGATCTATGGTGGGGAGTGAAGAAGAGGAGAGGGCTTGAAGGCAAAAGATTTCAGAAATTTTCAGAAGAATCCTAACTCTATGCACTGGGATTATTTTGAGTGTATCTTTAGAGAGTGGGTGGGGAGAGAGATTTGATCATGACAGATGGTCACAGAAATGTACTAAGATTAGTGAATGGTATTTTGGGAGATTGTCTAAGACAATTGCCAAATAATCCAAATTACTTAGAGAACTGTATAATTTTTCCATTGAAAATAGTTACCAGAGAAACTTTACAAAGATAAACGAGTCCAAATTTCAGCCTTTTCTAGGTCTCAAATCGAAGTTGCCACTGGGTGTATGTTTGAGACCTAGAAGGCATTACCAGGGGATCCCAGAATCCTTGTCCATGAATGAGAGCGGTGCTAAGTTGGGGGAAAATGGACCTGTGTTCTCCCGAGAGTCTCCAGTTCGGAAGGCAAGAAGTGTCAAAGGTGGTGGTTTCAAGATTTTTGTGTCTAGCACATCAGAGAGAGTCTCAATATATGTAACCAAATGATACAGTAAGGAGGTCAGCACATAATAAATCACGACTACTAATCCTGTTGTGTGGTGTCCTTTGCAGGGCCTATTTATAAACAGAAAAACAAGTAATTCCTTGAATCTGACCTACAGCCAGCGAAGCGAAGCAGTCTTTGAAAGGAGGACCGAGAAGCGACACAGTGCCGTTCGTTCCCAGTTTTATTTGTACGCTCGTGCTGGTTGAGAGGAACAATCAGTCCTAAAGCCTGAAAGAATCAAGCTTCCAGGGCCAGATGACTCTCCAAATACCAACAACCCCCAAGATGGTATGAAAATTTGAAGACATTCTTTAAATGTCTACCTAAAATTAGACTTCACCCTCATTTATATTATGAGTCAGTGAAGAATCCCCAACTTCGTTCTTCCGTTGACATTAAGCATTACCACCAGGGAAGGAGCTGAAAGCCTTACATCAAATGGGAAGCTTATTTCCCTTATCAGGAAACACCTATTCACACATAACAATCTAGTGAGAGCTACATGTCAACACTGTAGTTCTTTTGCTTCGAGGAGATAAAAATGATTCACATCACCTGCTTTAACAACTCAGAACTGGAACAGGTACCTTTACTGTGCAATTAATTGTACATGATTGTGGGCCATATTTTTAGAGTGACAGGTATGCTCGGACCAGGCATCTGAGCACACTGTCCAGGCCAACGAGGGTTGGGAAGTCACTTTGGGTGGAGCGAAGGGAAGGAGAAAATGAGAAAGCTGACAAGGGGCAAGACCAGGAGACTGGCACCAAAGCCATGTGGGGGGGGGGGGGGGGCAAAGGCGGCTGGGAGGGGAGAGCACCCCTTTGGCCAGAGTGGCTGGGTCAGGTCTCAGGCTCCCAACACCAGGCTCCAGGCTTTGGTTCTGCCAAGTGCAGCTCCAATTTCCTTTCCCCACCTGAGGTCTGCACGTGCCCATCAGGCAGCCTCACCGGGTCCCAGCTACCTTCTCTCGGCAACGTCTGAGGACCTCTGTACCAGGGTTCCTCAAGTTGATTTTGAACCCACAGAATTCCTGTTCAAACTTGATCTGAGCAAAACTCTGGTGTTTCCTGTTTTCCTTGATTTGAGCTTTCTGTTTTTGAAAGATGCTTTCTCTTCAACCAACCTTTTTTTACTTTTCTGTGTTCTGATTTCAGCACCCTTTATTTGATATACACTTAATCTAGATGTTGTCAAAATGTGTTTCAGCAGACTTCAAAATTCTTACACATTATTGGCTTTCCAAACTTAATTTTTTCAATTGTATTTTTCTTGACAGAAGTGACATATTTACTCTAGGTTCTCCTGTACTGTATATTTGAAAGTTGCTATGAGAATAGATCTAAAAGTTCTTACCACACACAAAAAAAAGTGTAACTATAGGCAGTGATGGATGACAAGTAAATAAACCTATTTTGGTGATCATTTTGTGATATATACAAATATCGAATTACTGGGCACCTTAAACTAATACAATGTTATATGTCAATTATATTTCAATTTAAACAAGAAAAAAAAGATGCTCAACATCACTCATCTCAGGGAAATGCAAATCAAAACCACAGTGAGATATCACCTCACAACTGTCAGAATGGCTAAAATCAAAACCACAAGAAACAAGTGTTGGCGAGGATGTGGAGAAAAAGGAATCCTCTTGCACTACTGGTGGGAATGCAAGCTGGTGCAGCCACTGTGGAAAACACTGTGCAGGTTCCTCAAAAAATTAAAAATAGAGCTACCCTACAACCCAGTAATCCCACTATTGGGTATCTACCCCCAAAATACAAAAACACTAATTCAAAGGGATCCATGTACCCCTACGTTTATAGCAGCATTACCTACAATAGTCAAACCATGGAAGCAGCCTAAGTGTCCATCGACAGATGAATGGACAAAGAAGTGATACACACACACACACACACACACACACACAGTGGAGTAATATTCAGCCATAAAAAAGAATGAAATCTTGCCATTTACAACAACATGGATGGAGCTAGAGAGTATAATGCTAAGTGAAATAAGTCAGAGAAAGACAAATATCACACGATTTCACTCTTACGTGGAATTTAAGAAACAAAACAAACAAGCAAAGGGGAAAAAAAAAAGGGACAAACCAAGAAACAGACCCTTAACTACAGAGAACAAACTGATGGCTACCAGGGGGGAGGAGGGTGGTGGATGGGTGAAATAGGGGATGGGGATTAAAAAGTACACTTATTATAATGAAAAGAATAAAATAAATTTGAAAAAGAAAAAAAAAAAAAAGAAAATGGATCGACTCTTCGACAGATTTCTAAAATTTGAACTTGCCTTCCCCCAGCAGGATGCTGAATTTCATTGTGGAGTGATTTCTATTATATTCACAGATTAAAGGATCCTGAATCATAAATAATATTCCCAAGTTACGGGCTTTTAGGATTTAACCTACAAAACAAAGCACTGTATTTGTGCTACTGTTAACATTATTAGAAATAACACGTACACACATGCACACACACACACACGCAAGCATGTACAAACTGGATTTTTCTTCAGTTGGCATTTCTGCTTACCTGGTAGAGATCATTTCTCATATTGATAATGTCATCAGAAATCAAACCAGATGTGACTTCTAGTAGATCCCTCACAAGCTGAGCATGAAGATGGATGATTGCTAAGTGTAAGACACTGGAACAAAAACAGAGTGGCACTAATCAACTAAAATGTTAGTGGAAAAAAAAAAAAGAGAGAGATTCCCAAGAAAGGATCAGACTTGAAGACCGAACCTGGTTCTCATACTTCCTTTTATTCGGCCCCCAAATGTCTTGAATCTTAAATGTCTTGAATCTGAGGTGGGAATGTTCTACCGCCTACGCAGGCCCACTCTTTTACCAGGCCTGCCTGGCCTCTGGGGACATTTTGGTCTGACCTCGTGAGGCATAAAAGCACCCGGGCCTCAAGGGAAAGAGACATAAGTTCAAATCCCCACTCTGCCTCCGTGTGATAGTTCAGGGCATTTTCTCTTCTAGCTTTTTCCTGGCTTCCGTTGACATATAGATGATGTATGTAAAATGCCCGGCACTAGCAACTGTTCAGGAAAATGTAGTTACCTCACCTAACCTTCCAGCCTCCTCCAAAATACAGTGTGGTGGCTTCTGAAAGATCTTCCTAGATCCCAAGAGGGGCGAATGGGGTCAGGCATTTAACTACTGGGAGAGGACTCTTGAGGTAAACTTCTGAAGGAACATGTGATTTTATTTCTCCTTTGCAAATATTCCCTCTGCCTGGAATGGTTTTGCTCCTTTTCTCTGCCTGGACAGTGCCTACTCCATCCTTCATATTCCAGTTCAAACCTTACCTCCTCTTCGAACTTCCTAGGAAGAGCACATGGTCTCCCCTCAAGTTTACTGCTTGGTTATGCAACTGTGGTTTTCTATCTGTCTTTCCCCCTTTCTGGCCTGTGATCTCAGGGCTGGTCCTCCCTGGGTCAGCCTTACAGCCCTGGCACACAATTCAGGCGCTAAAATAAGGGTGACAGAATGAGCCTCAGGGCTTATGCTAATAAGGCTGAAAATACTGGCAGGTGCCAAGCATCAGTCCTAGGGACACAAATTTTTTTTTAAAGATTTTATTTGTCAGAGAGACAGAGAGTGAGCGAGCTCGCACAAGCAGGAGGGAGGGGCAGAGGAAGAAGCAGGCTCCCCGCTGAGCAAGGAGCCCGATATGGGACTCGATCCCAGGACCCTGGGATCATGACCTGAGCCGAACGCAGACGCTTAACCGACTGAGCCACCCAGGCGTCCCGACACAATTTTTTAATTGTTAAAAAAACTTACTACTAAAAATAATTTGAAAGGACTCAAAAAAGTGGCTACTTTGGGCTTAGAGCTTCTATTTACCAGGCCATGCTATGTAGTTGACATATATGACCTGATTTATTGTAACAAGAAGCCCAGTGAGGTAGGTAATATTATCCTCATTTTTCAGATGATGAAACTGGGACTGGCAGGTATAACAGAACTCAACCCACGTCACTTAACTAGTGAGTGGCGAAGCTGGGAGCCCAGCCCAGGTCCAGTCCATCTGGCTCCAAGGCCACCTCTTAATCCCTTAAGCCATCCCGCTGAAGGAAGACATGGGTACTGCTCTGTAGAGCTGCAGATGAACCCCTAAGATAAGGAATATGCCGAAGTATGGACAGATCGCGATGCAGAGCATACTGAGTATCGCATCGTGGCAGGACATCTGGGATTTGAGGCACAGGCTAGATTTTGTCCAGTTGAAACATCTGAGGTGTCATGTTTTCCAGGCCTCTTTCTTAGCAAAAGTAAGTGCATCTTACTAGGGATTAACGTTGGCACAAGAGGGCCTAAAAAAACAAACTTATGGCTTCATTACTTGAGAGAGCAAACGAATGATGTCGAGGTTTCACTACTGTCTCTTGAAATGTGAGGCTGGAAGAAGCCGTCTAAAAAGGGCCTGAAGTCTGACGCAGACATGATGCACATATACCAAGAAAAAGGTCATATTTCAAAACTGCCTAAAAATTTCCATGCGCAGCTCAGCATTTCATCCCAGAAGTACCTTCTCCCTCCCCCATAAATCCTCACACCCTCATGGGAATGTCCCCAACACCAGAAGTTCTTTTCTTTTCTTTATTGTATTTTCTGTGATGACTAATGGCTCCAGGACTCAGATTATTAGCTGAGTGTGACAAGTTCAATGAAAACAGCCCTGATATGTGAGGACCAGCAGCTTTCCCTTGGCCACATTCTCGTGAGGGTTCCTCTTGGGTCTCCCCTCTCCGCCTCCAGCTGCGGCAAACCCCGAGAGCCTGCTGGTAGGAGTATGTCTGGGGTCCCAGGAGGGGACTCGAAGGATTCATGTTCCGCTTGGGCAGGGAAGACCACCTCCTGGGCCGCTCCGTATGTGTCCTTACACGTGCCCGCACCTGCCCCTCCACGCACCCACTGAATGCATGCGCCTTGTATCTTCTCCACAACCCTCCCTCCATAGGCCGCAGGCTCCCGCTAGCTTCCACGTGCTCATCTTTCTTAGGCTCCTCAATGCCGCAGGCCCGTAAAAATGTCACCTGAAACGCTGCTGTTCTGTCTTGGGTAACTGGCTGCTTTCTCTTGTGGTTCTATGCTGCTGAGCGCTAAGTGGATTCTTTAAGCCCGTGAAAACATTCTGCTGTTCACAGCATTACACAAAGCAGGCTGTACGAGCTCCTCTCATACTGTAGCACAAGGTCAGTGGTTATACCACATCCTTGGTTACGCTGCAAGGAATGAGAACAAAGGTCTCTGTTTGAAACCCTGAGGTTGGCACTTTCCTAAAGCGTTTGGATCAGCGTTTAAACCGAGGCTTAAAACGCAGCACTCAAGAGCTCCTCTACAGAAAAGGGTTTCTCGGGGTTGACGCTATTTTTGGAAAGTTTTAGGTAAGGCACTTGACTTGAATCTGAGGGCTGTTGTCTCTTGTTGTTCTTACAGGCTTCTGAGATCATTTTAGGAGCCTCAGTGAAAGGCCCAAGAGAACGGTTTTAGAAAGAAGCCAGCTGCTTTGCCAATATCAGCTCAGTGAGAGCAGAGATGGACGCCCGGTGCTTGGAATGCTCGCCTCCCCCACGGCGTGAGGGAGAGCAGACACAGGGGCCTGACCCAGTCGCAGACTGGTAACCAGGAACGGAGGCAGGAGCAAAGGAACCAGTGACTGGGAAAGAATGACAGTCGGCTCTTAATTGTTCTGTTGTTGTCGTTGTGCTGTCTTCTCTGGGCTTTGTCTTGAGTACACTACCATCATAAATACGCAGTTGGGATAACAAGTGCTTGAGGGATCTGGTTGGACCAAATTTTATTATTATACCATTTCAGTAAATAAAGCAAATGTTATTAATCCCGTAAATAAATAGGTTTATTAAATGTTATTCCACACGTTATCCCAATAAATAAAGCAAGGTTTTTGAAAAAGTACCACCATTCCCCACACACATCTTCGTTTTCTTGCCCAGAACGATGTACTCTTAGAGGAGGACTCGAGCTACGCTAGGGCCCAACAGGTGAGAGCCACCGGTCAGGGGAAGCAAAGTAGGGATTCGACCTTACTGACACATTACTGCCCACGATCGTCTTCCAGTGACAGGACCCAATACCTTTAAATGATTCTTTTTATCTCCAGCCAGTGAGCATACAGTGATTTTCTCTGTTCCTGGCCCTAAAACAACTCTTGTTTGCACAAGTCCTGACTTACCTGTCCCCATTCTCATCCTGCACTGCAGTGAGGTGGCGCTGGACAGCCAGCAGCATCTTCACATCTCCTGTCACCGCGTAGTCAAAAAGGGCGTTGGCATGCCGCTTGGCCAGCTGCATAGCCTTCTCTAGAAAGAGGTTGTCTGCAAGGCAATGACCACAATCACAGGTGAGTCTCCTACACTTGTTCTACAGGTACGGCATGCTCGAGGTCAAAACCATCAGCATCAGGGTTCTGATACCTCGACACACATCGTTTGAGTTGCAAATGCTCCTTTCAGGACTTCTGCACCGTGTTCACTAGAAAAAGCACAATTGGACATTGGCTTACTGACAAATACAGAGGCTGATCTGAAAAATCGGTCTGTGGTTTGTCGGGGGAAACAAATTTAGAAATGTCTGTTATCTTAGGGGGAACACTCAATCTCTAAATAATGTTGATTCGATTTACTATTTGTAAATAATCCATCTCCTGATGAAATAATCCTTCACTGGAGTCTTAAACAACTCTCCAGTCAGACAAAGTATCAAAAAACACAGACAGACTTCCCATAGGTCTTCGGTGTGCTTGTGAAGTTTGCTTCTGGAAGGTCAGGGGAAGGCAAATTGAGACCTGCAGGCCAAAACCATGGGTGGCCTGTTTTTATATGATCCCCCCACCTAACTAACCATGCTTTGTACATTTTTAAAGTGGTGTTTTAAAAAAAAAAATGTGATAGAGACCATAAGTGGCCAACAAGTAGAAATATTTGCCATCTTTCCCTTCCGTTTTCTCTAATGAGTGCTGGTTAAAATAGGCACAGAAGTGCTCGGTCGCTCTTAATCCTAACTGTTCAAAGAGGGCATCAGGGCAAAAGGAAAGGGCCTTATTTTCAGGCAAAGTTCTACTTCGGGATGACAGTCAAGCTACAGTCTAGAGAGAGGAGACTATTAAAGTTATGGAAACTTTTCCCTATTATCTGTGATAGAAATGAATTAGATGATCTTTCAGGATACCCTAAAACTGCATAATTATGATTGGAGAATGCATATGTAAACTTCAGTACTTTATATTCGAGAACAACATGGGGAAAATGGAAATCTCAGTGTGAATAAAATGTTCAGACACATGTTTTTCAAAAAGCACACGGGACTCTGAAGAGCAAGCACACTGAACTACGTATTGATGCATCATTTTTAGATTAACAGAAAATAAACCTGTCTTCTGGCAATAGTCTCCACTCCTCCAACCACAACCCATCTCCTCAGCAGTCAGTACAATGTAATCATGTGTATGCTCACTTACCCTGAAACCCAGAGTTCTCTTCCTTTACTCCCACTGTATACGTCAGAGTAACCTCATCATCCCCAGTGCTGGACTCCTTATCTTGTTCTGCAGGTTCAGTTACTTTCCCAGGGAGGCTGGCTGCCTCTCTGTCCACACTCTTTCCACAACCTTCAGAATCATTTTTAGATGGGGTGTCTATTGTTCCTAAGATAAAAGCAAAAATATCAGCTTTTCCTCAGTAAAGTCTATTAAGTTATAATTTACTATTTCAATTATCAGATAAAGATGGGAGGCTAGTTTACTGCAAAGGGAAAAGAAAACCAGTAATTTAAAATTCCTTTTAAAACAGTCAAATCATTAAGTAACCTGTTTTGGGGCTATTTTAAATGCTCACTTCTAAAAGACACATTTTTACTGAGGCATAATTGACATTATAACATTACATTAGTTTCAGGTGTACAGTATAATGATTCAATATTTGTACATATTGTCAAATGATCACCACAATAATTAACATCAGTCAGCACATATAGTCATAAATTTTTCTTGTGATGAGAACTTTTAAGATCTTAAAAAATTTTTATTTATACTTCTAAAAACTGACATTTCATTCTGTTTATTTGTAAAGGAGAAAAAAGAAATACAGCTCTTCTGTGAATTGCAGGGAAGTGGATTTTTTTTTTTTTTTAAAGTGGGCTCCATGCCCAGCATGGGCTTGAACTCACGACCCTGAGATCAAGACCTGAGCTGAAATCAAGAGTTCGATGCTTAACTGACTGAGCCACCCCCAGGCACCCCCGGGAAGTGGAATTTTTAAAGTTTAGATACAAACAGAGGAATTATTTTTTTCCCAATGCTATTAACCAAGCAAGTTGTTAAGATATGATATCAAGGCACATTCTTTAGTGTGGGAGCCACTTGGGGCGCCATTTCTGTGCTCTTTCAGGTCCGACCATGCTATCTGACATGTGCTCTGAGAACACCTAGGTTTTATGAGGAGAACTGGCTCAAATCCTGGTTCTGCCGTTAACAGGTATGTGCCTTCCGGGGGGGTGAATGAACATGTCGGAACCTCAGTGTCCTCTGTCTGTAAAATGGAGACACTACTATTTTCCTTACAGAGCAATCGTGAAGATTACAGTTAAAATATGCAGCGGCCCCTGACATAAAACAGGCATTCCATACATGGGAAGGCTTCACTGTATTATTTCTTCAATGGGTACACTAGAAAGGACGTGCAATATAAATTATGAACCCGTGGTGTGACGACTGCAAATTAGGGGATGCATTTGATGTGGAAAGGCCATTCCTATAAAACTCAAAATATGTGCAAAAGTATAGTATGTGAGAAGAAAAAAAAAAGGGAAAGAATAGGTAAGTTTGGTGACTTTTTTATGTTTGAAGAGTCAAGTCTTTCTATATGTCCCTTCTTAATGTTCTTTTCCTCCCCCTGGTCATGCCACTTACAAAATCAATATATAAGTACTGTGAATAGAATTTATACTCACCACAGGGAATAATATTTTTTTTTTGGAGAAGTACCTTCTTAGTTTATTGGCATTTATCAATTTTTTTTTCAAGATGACAATGTTGTGATAGGTAATGATAAAAACTTCTTGGCAATTTTTCTATTCTTTTCTCACTATTAAAAAAACTACCTTACTTACCGTGTTTCATCCCGGCATTAGATTTAGTGGTTCCAGGATGGAAGGTAATTCCACCGTATGTAGGAAATCCATAGTGAGGGAAGCCGTACCCTGAAATGGCAAGCAAAACAACTGAAACCTCATGATGCTTTGCTTTTTCGGTGTTTTGTTGTTGTTGTTGATGTTGTTTTTTTAACAAAGACTCAGCCAAGCTTGGTGTCCTTCCCTAAGGTGAGTACAGGCTCTGGTGTGGGAGGGTAGTGTGCCCGACATGGTGCTTCCGTTGGGAGTTAGCAAGACACACTGTGGGGGATCATGGGATGATCAGAATTCTACTCTGATCAAGTTTACATTTTGGCAACTCCGGCAATGCCCAGGCTTGGGGCAGCAGGGAGGAGTGCATGCTGGAGAAAGGCTCCCACTCCTATGTGGAGAGGAGAAGCCAATGGTGAGTGGTCACCATCCAAACTCAGACTTGCGGACACAGAGGACCTTGAAATAACCTCTGGCGGGAAAAAATGAACCAAACAAAATACAGAAAAAATACTGACTCCTCAAAGGAAACATGACCACACTGTTCGTTCTCAGGCATTTTTTGGTGGAAGCATAAACTCGTACGTAAAACTCCTTGGGGGCCATCAAAAAAACCGAAATCTTGCCATTTGCAATGACGGGGATAGAACTAAAGGGTATTATGCTGAGTGAAATAAGTCAATCAGAGAAAGACATGTATCATATGATCTCACTGAGGAATTCTTAATCTCAGGAAACAAACTGAGGGTTGCT